TCTATTAGAAGCTATATTTAAACAATTTAAAACTGTAGCACTCACAGCATATTGAAATACAAATAGATGCGTCCGCCTTCATGGTTTTGGATGCTCCTGTAAATGTATGGTTACGACCTTTAGCTGATAAAACATACCTGCTGAATATATTAAGAAGTTGTAATGCAAACCATACAAATGTTGCCAGTTTTCCATCGGACAGCTGGCTCCTAACAGCAAACGAGGCGTGTCTATGTCCGGGATTTAAACCCAGCCCAGTGCACATGCCTTCCAAAGGTTTGGCAGGTAAACGCGTTACCCACTGCGCCGTTGCTGGGACACGATGTTGGTGATTTAAGAGACTATTTGAGAGACATTCTCACATGCAACTGTTGCCTTAGTACCATTTCTAACTAGCTAAGGCACTGACCACAGAAAAGGCGTATGGTCTCTCGAAAAATATACTCCACACTTTTCCATCGCTTTATGAGTTTCTGATGTGTGTCAAGCAAGTAAAAGAAAAAACCTCTCAAAGTATATTTGGGCTTTTCAAATAAGATGCATTCCCTAATAATTATAGGACTGGAAAACAACTACATTGCTGGTTGGCATTGTACGAGTGTTTATCTATGGCTTTTTCACACTTGCACGACAAACAAAATATAAGGATTGTTAGTTTGGTCTCTGTTAGCCACAAAACGTATACGGCGGTAAATCACGTCACGAAGTGATATTTATAAAGGTTACTGTTTTCAGGGTTCTGTCGTGAGGATATAATCAGGGTATCAACAAACAAAGGATCAAGGTCTGTATGTAGCACTAGTCCTTCCCGAGTCATGGTTTAAGCGTGAAGTGTAGATAAGAGTAAAGAAATCAACTACCAATTTAAATAGAAATGCTCGAAAGGTACCTTGGCCCGTACGACTCATCAGCAGAATTGAGAGTTATACGGAGGGATACCTGAAATATTTTGCACCGATGATGTATGTATAGATAGTACAACCCTCTGTCATAGAGTGACCTATCAAATCAACAATTACCATAGACAGACGATTTTCATCCGTTTCTAAGGCGGGCAGTAAAGAGAGACGCTGTGAGAGAAACAGTTGTACAATGAAAGGCAAAAACAATGACGATAAAAATCCATTTAACTTCCTTCAACCTACTGGCGCATTCACTTTGGGCACCTGCCTTGAAACACAGCATATCAGGTATACGTCGTTGATGAATTGGTTTTGCAGACGATTTTGCATACACAGTAATGCTTTTGTACCACAGTGTTCCTTCAAGCCTCTCAATAGCTTAAATTCGTTCTATCAGTAAGGACATCTCGGACCGGACGAACGAACACACACGCTTTATTAGAAAGAAATATACAGTCGTCAGCAGCAACATTCTTCGCTGAAACGAAAGACGCGCTTAAGCAATTATTTTGAATAGATGGATGTAAAATATAATCGAATAAACTATGATTACTGTAATATTACTATTAGTAGTTTGTTTTCACTCAACTTCCTCAGGGGCATTCGTTGAGATCCCTTGTTGCAAAAGGAACAACTACAAATGCGGACTTTTATAGAGAGCTCGATCAGTGTGAAAAAATATCAGTGAACCGTTACTTACCGTGCAGATACGTAATCAGTAACAAGTGGGGAAAAAAGCGAATCCTATTTTACCCGGCTTTCAACTAGAATATACAAACAAATAGAATGTTATTCTAACAACACAAGTCCCTAACCACTTTATGAAGTTCTTTAATACTGCCCATCGAAATACAAAAGACATGATTTTTTTTTCTTCGTGTTTCTTTCATGCTCGTGATGTTTTTTCATCAAGTTTTTTTTTTTTTTTTGTTTTTTTTTTTTTTTTGTTTATGTATAGGAAATTCAATTCGTTCCACGCGGCAGGATATCGATGGATGCGTATGCATGGCTCTCCACAAATAATTTCTCACACGTCCACCGCAGTTAGAAAATGCAGTTACCCTCATAGTAAAAGTGAGAAAATTGTATAGAAAAATTTTAGAGAACACTTAGCGATAGATGATTGCTTAAAAGAAACCAGAGCTAATAAATAAACCAGAGCTAAATAATGCCGATAGTATTACACTTTTGATATCGTCTAAAATATAACTATCGGTATACGAACAAATATTTGATATGTACGAATCGGGTTCAATATTAGCATTTTGCTAATGCGGCACGGTTACAGGTAGAAAATTTTAGAAATTTTTTACAATTATATTCCACGCATTTTTCACTTCCTGCGGGAAAATCACGCGGGGACACGGGGCAAATCTGTATGATCAAATCAAGCGTCAAGCTGATAACTTGGTAATATTCTGTTTCTATGACAATTTGCCCATCAAGCTTTCTAGAGTAACTCAGCTAACTGGACTGGATGGGTCCAATAGATTTAGTCAATTATTTGCCGAATTTTTTTCTGGTTAACTGACCTTCATTATATATTGCTATACCTTCATTGATCGATTGTATCTGCGTCTATACAGTGTAACCGAGATAACGGACTTCTTCCAAAAATGCCTGTAACTATCTTATATTGAAGTGAAAACACGGTTCTCCTCGCGAATCTTCTGTCTCGTCCCAAACGTTGTCTAAAATGGACGCGAGTAGCATTGGCAAGGCAAGCCTTTCAGCAGAAACATCCTCCATTTGGTAACCAAGTGTAATATATTTTATGAACATTGAATTATGTCTTTATAACACTTGAGTACTGCACGTACCTGTGACTACTTGCAGCGGAAACATTGTATGCGAGTAAATTTGTAACAATGAACTGGTAAGGCAAAGCTGGCGACAAAGGAGAAGGAAGCTTGAAGGTATAAAATAAATATTTTAGTAAAAGATTGAGGCATGACAATTTGGATCCACTTCAAACAGACATATTAAAGAAGCACTGTTTTGAAGACGCTCGAAAAGGAAGTCTAAAAACGCGGTCATGGATGGTTACGACCACGTCATCGCAGCCAGAAATACGTAAAGTACTACTAGTTAAGCCCTAAAGGCCTAGAGATTTTTACGCCTTGGAAAACGAAGGGTGATCTTTTTTCAATAGCGCAGGGCGCTATGAGGCTGAGTTCGCATTCGTTGCCTTTATTCTCGTACAGCCTATATCTTCGTTTGTTACTTTGATCTATCCGCTTACTAAACTGACCCATTGTTTGGAATTGAATCGAAACACAATATCTTGCCTAGGGCTTTGACCACCGTTCTTCATAATGCGTTTTGATGAACATCTCCTTTCAACAACAATTGTAAACATGTCAGTGCAGCTTTATTATTTCATCTAATTCTGCATAATATCACACATAAATATACCAAGTACGACACGACGACGACAACAACAACAACAACAACAAAAGCACCCCCCGACCCGCCTAATCCATAAAAGAGATATCGCCAGTCTAACAGTAAGTGTGCGAAAACGAAATGATCTTTCTGTTTTTTTACCACTTACATGAAGTTACCCGTCCCCATCGATGAATTTTGTAATAATGGACTTCACTTATGTATATATATATCTTTTCGGCCGGCTCTCGGTTATCTCTAGTGTAAAGGAATAATTCTAGAAAACAGCTACTTAAATCTGTTGTAAAAGAAAAAAAACAATGCAAAAAAGCTATCGTATCATAGAAAGATGTTTCCATAGGCGCCATGTTCACAGTGGTTGACAATGGGCACCATGCGTGAGCTTCGAGGGCTCACTTTGTCAGCTGTTCCAATTTGAGCTCGATGTTCTGCATGTGTACGACTGCTCCGCAGGCATGACCTTTTCAGAATCAGAATATCGTACTTTGCGAACTACAGGCAGACATAGATAAGTATTGAAAATGACTTTTTGACCACAACTTTTTCGTTATTATAAAAGTTCGCCCCCTGCCCGCTTGCTTGGGGCAAATAGACAATTGTTGACAAATAGCGAGCATTCAAATTTGAACGCTTACTGGCTTCTATTTGCAGGTACATGTATGCAGTGTTTCTTGCCTAAACATGGATCTAAAAGCTATCGCAGAAGATTACGCACAGAACCCATCGCTACTAAACAATACATTTTCTCGACTTCACAAGCACCTTAAGTCTAACGGAATACAGCACAATTAACTTTAGCAGTTGTGCTATTAATGACTCAGTAGTTATAAACGGAGTAAGTAATCGATGAAGCCATTTAGATTTTAAAAAGTTCCCGGGTCAAGAGTTTCTGTTAATTAGATTGGTTTTTATAAAACTAACTTTATCAAGCTATTTATAGCGAGTCATTTTTATTAGGCTTTTAGGTCGTAAATCAGTTGACACGGTACGCTCAAATGATATCAACCGGCTTAAACTTAATTTTTTTTTTTAATCGAAACTCCTTATAGAGTGAACTCTCTTCCATTTCGAGATATCAATTTATAGAGCGTTCGCCAACGGGCCTATCCTGATCACTTTTGGCCAACTATCTCGATGAAAACAAAATAACACCAGTGCCGTTAATTAATTCACCTAAATATAAGGTAGCCGATAGCATAACGACGCATTTCGATTAGCCGAATCGGATTTCTGCGTAGCAGACAGGCGCTACAGGGGATGATCTCGTAAACACTTCGCTAGCTTCTGCTAAGGCGCAAACGATTAGCCATGCCCTATGTCGTCTACTTCTGATATCGCTATGTAGTGTACCGGTCACACGGTTCTAGCAGACGAAAGACACCGGTCGCGTCTCATGCATAACATCCTATACGTAAATATAGTAATAATAAACAGTTGAGACATGCCGAAGTGTTTACGCACGCCTACATCAAGTCCTTGAATATTGCCGATCTATATTTAGTATAGTTGCAATAGATTTAGTAGATCTTAACCATAACAGCATTGTTACTGGAAGATTTACGTCTAAGTAAAATTGTATCATGGACAAAGGTCTTCCCACTTGCCTTCCATTCAGTACCGCTATAGAATATGTAAAACTTCACAAGTCTTCTCAGAGGAGCGGGTGCAAATCGGTATTTATTAAGAGCAAATTTCAGTTGAGGATCATTGCAAAACGATATAAAGATCTATATTTTAGCGTAACAATGTTTTTCGAAATAAGTGTCCCATTTCAGCATTATTAGTTATTAGTAATAGTAAAATATTCGCAAAAATTAACACAAAGCTTATAACAATGACTATTGTTAATTCTTAGATGATTTGATTATCTCTACCTCCTGCTGACGCCAGTTTCGTGCGAATACAACAGCGTTTTTGGAGACAACAATTAGCACGGAAACAGAAAATAGAAATTAACGGGATAGGACAGCCCGATCAAATAAAAACAGCGGAGAGTAAATCAATCATTATTAAATATTCTTTAATTTATATTTCATAATGTTGTTAGCCTATTTTTAGGTTACGTGTATAATTTAAAATTGCGCACTGCATTTCATATGTTGTCATTTATTGCTTGTCAATGGTCCTCTGGTAGCTTTACCCTACCTATTAATGTCGTCCAGGTATAAAATAGTAATGTCGCGCAGTGCATATATATATATATATATGGATTGACTCATAAAATTTGAGCAAATCCAAACAGATAAAATGTTCTCAAGCACGTTCCTCATCTTCACTAAGCAGATTGCATGGAATTATTTATTTTTCATTATGATCTATTTTAAGCACCATTTATAATCGTACGTAATTGGCCATCATTCAGTATAAAAAACAGTAAATGATGGCAGAACAAATACAATATACCTGTAAAAATGTCTCCGGCACGTTTGTCGGTGCCGGCGGACCTTTAAGAATGACAGTAATTTGAGTAACGATAGGCAAGACATATTAGCAAGCAACACTCAAGTCAATTGCTAATATGACTAGAACCTTATATCGCCTATGTAAAGCATGTAGATATAGCTTGACACCGTAAAAAAGATAGCTGTACGTCAATTTAGTCGCATTTCTAACATGTCCCGTTACCTTTACAGCAGTCAATATTAGAACCAACTACCTAGTTTACGACGAGTGATTCTTATCACCGACTCTTAAACCTCATCTCAACGTTTAGTCTGAACTCCTCCTTAAGGAAGGCTTTTTTGAAGTCGATGCGCTTCGTAGCACTATTTGCTACGTAAGCGAACGCGGTTCTTAACGACTCGTTTTGCAGGCTATCCGTAGCATCCCAGACTACACTGTTTGGCAATGTGCGAGCGAAATAGGTAGTCATTTTTGGTACAATTTGGTGGCTGAGAGCAAGGACACCGCTGGGATATGTCTACGAAAATATGGGAACAAAGAAACCAGGAATACTTATTCTAAATCAGTCGTTTAATGACGAGCACAACCCTCCCTGTGACGGCGCAGCGATAGTGCATAAAATTCTAAACCTAAATTTCTCTACACAACAAGGCCAATAAAAAAATTAGAAACAAATCATCTCGTTGAAACCGAGCAGCCTACGGCGCGTAAAGCCCGCAATTTATCTATGTTATGCTCACCTGCATGCTAACCGTCTATTTCCCATTAGATAATTTTCTTTATTCAAGCAGTAAGATTAGCCAAAGCCAACTTACCGGAAGCTTATATTCAGCCGTTATGCAAGCAACCCCGCTAAAACGTGAGATTTTCAAGAAGGCAAGGCCCTGAAGCTCATCCCAGTTTTTCGTCTTATTGTTGTACACGTACATTCTGGGATCCTGATCGTCCTTGAACACCACCTCCTCAACAGCCACTAATCGCAAACATCATAAGGCATAATGAGTTAATATAGAAGAATATCTTCAAGGCAAACTCTATCTACAACGCATGCAATCAAAGCGTATACCTGTAGTCTGAGATGATTGTTGCGGGCTCAGCAGTCTGTAGCACGGTTCACTGGCTGGAAACCGTTCAGTTGAATTTTACTGGTCTCACAATTCCAGAAACAAATTGAATTCTAGGTATGTCAATGAAAGACTAAGATACTATGATTATATATCTATATGCGCGTAATAACAATCAACTTTGTCAGCTTCAATTTTCCGCGTGAAGGCTGTCTCCCCCTAAATTCTTTTTGTTGTTGTGTTTCTGTGTACAAAACCTACGCACTCAAACGATGCTAACACAAAAATGCTTCAGGAGTTATCCAGGCGATACATCTCAGGCGAATCTAAGGGAACAGAGTCATTGATTAATAATGATTTTATCTTTGGAGCTTCAAACTTTCTTACCATTTTGCATTTCGTCTGAAGCTGGTCCTACTGGCTTATTGGGCTCGACTTTTCTCGCTTCCAGGGTGACGATGCTTTTGAAGTCATTGCTGAGTTTTTCATGCGTCGCGTGAAACTTGAACGTAGCTCGAAATAATCGACCTGGTCGGAGCACGGAATCCAAGCCGACCCAAATGGAAAGTCGGGATGCATAGGACATGATCTTCGTGTTGTGTTCAATTAAGTGGTGACATACCAGTGGATGATTTTCGTTCAGTGTCTACAAATGCCGAGCAGGCATTGTTAACCAGTATTAGTAAGTAAATTCGCGGAACTTTCTGATTTCCTATTTAATAGGAATTAACAGACGCTTGCCTGTCTTAGTGCGTCAGATAATAATAACAATAAAACTACGCCTACTGACCAATTTAAGCTTGGTCTCGTTTATTTTTTTTGAAGTGGCTTGCACGAGTTGAACACATTCTTACCGGAACGGCTCAAAATCAAGTTTTTTTTTTCTTTTTTCTTTTTCCCGTCCGCTCAGAAAAACTATATGCGAATTTTGCGCAGAGATATGGCCGATGATATCGACGCAAGTTAAATGTTCCTGTCACATCTTTCATCATATTGTTATTTTCGTCCTAAAAATTACGGCTAGAATAAAGACGTGTGCTGGAAAAACGGGAAAATTTTGAAGTTCTGAAAAGCTATACTAGTACCACACTAACCATCGTTCTAGCAAATACTAGCCCGAATAGCTTGGCCAGGTTAGTCATAAATTAGAATTTGAATTTCATACTGCTATAATCACTATTATGAACTTTAATATTATTAATAATAATTCCAATAGCCCAATATAAAATCTTACATCGTGCATGGTGATTTTTGCTCGGCCATCAGTGCGCCGACTAACGCGGAGGTAGCCCGAACATAAGTGCTTCCAGTGCATGTTCTCGTCGGCAACGTACAATAATCCTGGCACAATGCAGAGGACGACATCGTTTGTGCCAGATCCTGGAAGATTGCTCTCATTTGATTGATAAATAGCATTTTGCACAGACGACGGCCTCAGCAAAGGGCGAGACCAATCGTCAGTAACTCGTTGAAAAATGGTCGATTCTATGTGAGCTCTTTGACCGGCTTCTGCAAACGAGTTTAAAGGATCTTCGAACACTACTGGTTTTGGGTTGGCTTTCTCTTTGGTAAGTGAGATTGAATCAGCACTGCGAACCGCAGGCTGTTGTTGTGCGATTACCGATTTTTCACTGTTCTCCCCCTTCGTTTCCGCATGCGTCGATAAAAAAGCATGCAACTCATTTATTTCTGCAATACAACGGCATGAACAGCATTTTAGAGTTGTGTATATGTATATAACGGGCCGGAAAGGAGCAACAAAAGGAGTTTGGTAACCTTGAGCAAGGGTCCAGTTGTGATTTTTATAGGATCTTCTAGCTAAGACCCTATCATTAAGAAGGAAAGCGTATACCTATCACCATTTCTGTGCACAAAGGTTTCTATACCGTTATTTGCTTTTTTGGTAAACAACGCCCAATATTACAGTAGCATTTTCAAGCACAAGAGAACAAATAAAAGGAAACATACTTATTGAAATAAGCACCGAATATATTCATTATTAAATTATCCAAAAATGTTTAAGTTTAAGGCTCACCGGATTTCTCTGTTGGCTTAACGTTGCTGCCGCGGTCGAGGGTGATGCAAGGTGAGTTGAGCTCTGTTTGTGGTGCTTCGCTATGTCCGAGCGACGCTGAAGGCGCGGATGTTGCTTCTAAAGCAACTGCCGGGACCATCACGACGGGGTCTAGGTTGTCCTCTTCAGAATATTTTTTATCGTTGCAAACTTCTGTACCGTCGTCAGATCCGTCATCATCGACAACTTTGATATCTTCTTCGTTAATTACGTTGCCGTCATCTTCGTCGCTTCTGTCATCATTGGATGTCTCCTGTTTCATAGCTGGAATCACTTCCTTATTACCGTCAGCAACATGATCAGCATCATTAATGGCAAGGCCATCGGTATTCACAAGCTTTTCCTTGACCGCTCTCGCGTTTGGTTTGTTTGCCTGGGGTGCACTGATTATCGGCAACGGCCACGAGGATATGCCCACCTTCCGACAACCAAACGACTCAACGGTTCCTGCTGTTAAAGCTCTGTTATCTACAGCAGCATCAGTATCTTTAATGCGCATCTGCCGTTGCAGGGCTTTGATTATGGCCAAGACGGTGATGCAAGTCGACGGATTGTTAAAGCGGAGCTCGAAGATCTCAGCCACGGGTTTGCCGCTGGCGTAATCCTCAACTCCCCATTGAATGCTCTTGCTATCGAAGCTGACGGTGAACGTCATCAATATTGTGAGATAGTGATTCAGACACACGGTTTCGGGCTTCGTGTTTGTCGTCATAACGAGTCGTGGCAGATATGTAGTGGAACCTCGACGGATTCTAAAAGTACCGCTGGCCACATCAAACCACTGATCCATTTTAAAGCGGCGCAAGTGCGCTTCCGACTTAGCAACGACAACCTCAATCTCTTTGTTGGAACCCGGAGTACCGAAAGCTTTTGGAAGCTCGGGCATCTTACTGATCTGTGATTCACTCTGAGCAAAGTTGAAGAAGGGACATTGATCAGTTATTCCCAAACGCTTGGTCAGATCAGATGCCGTAGCTAATGTAGTTTGTTCGCTTTGACTCTCATAGGCTTTTTCATACCAGGCTGCACAAGGCGGAGTTTGTATTCGGTTGTAATATATGTTCAACCCATCGAACGTTGGCCGGGTCGTTGTGGACGTTGTAGGAGCATATTTAGTAGGATTCCACGCAAAAGGTACACTCTTCCTGTCTGAGTCCGCTAACGCTCCTGAACGATGTCCTGGTGCCACATCAGACGGCCAAATCGGTTTCGCTAGCGAAGGCACAGCCGTCGATGACGCATCAGAAGATCTAGATGTATCATGTTTAAGAGAAACATCAAGTGTTTCTTTTGACGCCGCACACTCGGACGCAGATTTGGAGCGAACGCTTAAGGCATCTCTTTCCATAGGAGCCGCAACACTCGTGTTCACTGTGGTAGCTTTTCGTTGTCCTGAACTTGCGCTCTTGTGTACTTCGTCTTTGAAGGCTGATGACGTTTCAAAAATGGAACAATTGGCGGTGTCTTTGCTCTTTGTGCTTGTCGCTATCGCTTCCGGAGCTTTACCTGTAGTCCTGTCTGCTGGTGAAATGTTTGGAGCTTCTTTAATAATGCTTTTGTCTTCTAAGACCTTCACTACGTTTAGGGCAACTTTTGTGGCAGTTTCAACCGTCTTCGCAGCCATTGCTGCCACCTCTTCCTCAAGCCATGCTACTTCGAGGTTAGCGTTCTTTTTTAGCTTGTTGTTCGGTGTGGCCGAAGGGACTGAAATTGTCTTTGACGTCTTTGCAATAATTGACGACGCTTTATCTGGTATCTGGCCAACTTTGGGTTTCTTGGCTACTACTAATGGTTTTGATGCGATGTAAAAAGCTTCTGAGGAACCAGAAGCAGTAGACGGTGTTGTCTTTTGTGTAGTATCCGTACCGGAAAATGTTGGAATTGCGAAGGCCGATTTGCTTGAGGTTGTTAAGGACGGCTGAACTTTTTTAGTTAGCTCTTGCGTTCGGAGATTTGCGCCAGCGTCAGCTAAAACTTTCAGTAAAATCTTCATCAAACGCGAATTAGCGAGGTGATAGAAGGTGACGAAGTAGCTCGTACCATTAAGGACCGTCATAATTGATTCGACAATGTCGCCTCTCTTATTCACCAGTACGTCCATTTTGGAATCGATCACCTGCGTTCAACGCGCATAACACAGACGAAGAACGGAAAACTGTCATAGTGGCTAACAATACGCTGTTGCCATGAAACGCATGCCTGATAAGGAAAAGTGCCGCAACGTTTCTACGCGAGACGTGACCCCTTACAATCACAGAATTAATTTGCAAGTAATCACAGGTGTTATCTTGCGACAATGTAGGTAATTAGGATTCAGCTGATAACAGATTTCACTCTATCGTAGATAAAAAAAACTATTGCTATATATCTGTATCATCACACTATTGGCATGTCTTGTTTTGAAATCGTGAAATGATTGCTCGAGGCAGGTATAAATTGCTAAAGTTCTATAAATTAGTTAAGTTTGATTAAGTGGAAACAGACATTATAAATCATGAATATAATTGATAGGAACCGCAGATTATAAAATCAGCGGACATCTTTGATGTGTGTTAAGGACACGATATTAGCAATAAGTATGATAATAGTTTTCGAAAAAGTAGGCCAAACAGGATGATTTCCCAATACTGCTTCCAGCAGAACGACTAAAAAGAAAAACTTTAGTAACGTATATCATGCTTGATTTTTCATTCTCTAATCTCTCTCTAATGGAAATCCGCTCTAAATGCTAATCGACGGTGGACAAAAAATGATTGAGTTAATTGAAGTAAAATGTCTGTTACTTTTATATTCTTACGAAGGAATATAACTAACACTGCCCGACAGTTGAATAAGACGAAAATGTTTGCTTATCCTTCAATACCAGAGCACTAATTCCTATAAATTTCAATTGAACGGTATACAGTGCAGTGTAAAATAACACGTATCCTCCACAAATGTTTCACTCATAATGCATTAAACGATTCCAATGCGGTTTAAATTGTTGAAAGGCTCAAACAACTTAACCTGTATAACATGATATATTGGCTAACGTGAAAAACATGGTCCTTTAAGGTTTGCTAGTTTCTATAGTGACGTAATTCGAAATTACCTGTTTCAGTCTACCGACGTGGGTAATAAAAAAGTACCCCACTGTGGTTTCCTCATGGTTTGGGCCGGTATGCTCGATGAAACACTCAATACTTCCATCGACCCAGTCACCGGGTGGAAACATTTTGTCTTTACAAGGTACTCGCTTAAATCGAATAGCCCTGCTGCTGAACACGAGCCTCGTTGTTGGGGTGAAGGTCTTCTCCGTGGACAGTTTCTCAGGTCGAGCTCCCTGAGCACCTAGGCCTAGATTGAAGCACGAAGAATCACCGTACTTTCGGTTAGCTGCTGTTTTTGAGTTCTGTGATTGCTGCTCCTGCTGCTTCGTATGAATTTGTTTCATTTCCTCGCCCATGATACGTGTTTCATTCGAGGTTTGAAAAAAATCGCCTTCGATTGAAGTCGTATCTTTCGAAGCAGGAAACCCGGCTGATGTCTGACTGCTTTTAGTGCTCGATAGCTTTTCTAAAAATTGGAGTTGCTGGACAATCATCTGATGCATAATGCGCGACTCAAATTTGCGAATGTGTCCTTCTAGGCGGCCTACATGCTGTTCTATAATTTTCATATTGTTTTTCACGGTTGCAGTGTTCTCTTCAATGCCTTTCTGAGTCATCACTAGCTGAAATAGGCCGAGCGCAGAATAATCAGATTAAACAATTGAAGTAGAGAGTGATTTTAAAGTTGTTGGCGCCTTCCTTCCGGTTAGTAAAAATGTAGTTTGACGTTATGAGAGATTTCTGTGTTCTTGATTCAACGATCCTCTATCGGAAAACGATAGACCTAGATGGACCTCTAACCCGATTTCTCAAACGGCTAAGAAACAAAGACATTTCGATAGCGTTTTAACTTTGTCGAAGTAATAATGCAGAACCACAATAGACTTAACCACAAACAAGTTACCAGGCTTTAATAATAAATCAAGCGTGCAAAAAAAGATTACTATAAGAAGGACACTAGTGTATATGTTTTAGTGGATATTTTTAATTTATTATTTCGAAACGAATGTACTAGCGAGGAAACAAACTTTTTTAGATTATTGCCAGGTATCAATGGACGCTATCTAATAACTACATAGTTTGCTGACTAATGGTCTCAGGTCAACGATGCTCATTATTAGTAATTTTAATTACGTCTGTTATTTTAGCGAATAGAGCTTACTTAGTATTGACACCAGGCTGATTTACTGTACGTATATTAGAAAAAGATTCATACCTCTTGAAGAAGACCTTGTACGTTAGACATCCAATGACGTGCGCTGGTCTCCCTGGCGTGCTTGTTCACGTCAGTGCTTTCGGGGTTCATTTTCGTGAAAATCGATCTTTGCTATATCTATATGTCGTCGTTTTTAATCCGTAATTACGTGTCTACCTATGAAGTTATTTTTGCTAAAGAACAAACGAGACAGAAGTTTTTCACTCGTAATCCACTTAAGCCAAGGTTATAGCATACGATTATTTTTGTTATAAGTGCCCAATAAAGTGGACGTTACGTGGTAAAATATCTGAGTAGGTGCACGGTGGCAACATAAAATGCATCTGACAGCAAAGATAAACTGTACAATAATTGAATGGCTATTTCAAAAATGATTCATCTAATAAATTAGTACTCACTCGATGCTTGGATAGACATTTCTTTGCGTTTCTAGTGCGAACAAAGTTTTTTAGTCTTTTAGTTTTTTAGACTCCATAGTTCAGTAACTTGAGCAAGCTTGCCCTCAGGCAAGCGACGAACATACATTGAGTACAGCACGTACATTGTCGTGGCAAAAAAGTTGAATTTATTGTAGCGATTAAAAAGGCAAAGTTCATATTTGCTGAATCGTGAGCTAGCTGTAGTGTATAATAACAATTTGGAAACATTCAGAAAGTTTAAACTAGGAGGAATCCGTGCATTCAAGCCGCAACAATACGATACCTATAGTACAATGATCATCAACTATATAATAGCATAGAGATTGTTATTTTCGATATATTGCACTGCTTCGTACGTCTCGAATGGCAAGTTACGGCGGGATTTGGCCGTGTGCTTTATAACTTGAGCGCTGGTTCAACGTAACGCGAACACCCTACACAAACTTCGTAGTCTTTGCCTCTGTAAAGCTGCAGGGTCCAGGGTCCTTTCACTAATCTATGACCCCACTTCAAGCAAATATCGCTGCATTACGTATACGACAATGAAGTTTCCCGACTTCCGACAACCACTCATGCAGTAGTCGGCTCCTTAGAAACGCGGTTATATCTGATGGACAACAGGCTAAACGACATACGAGGGCCACTGAGGCATACCGTCATGCCGTTGTTGACTCTATCATGGCGCTAGTCGCAGGTGGAAGAATAGTCTGGGTGGGCGCGATGCACTGCTTATCTATAGTGAGGCCTTCGGCCTTGCCCTGGCCCAAATAGACCATTAGGTCTATATACAGCATAAACTCTATATGGTATATAATGATGATAGCTGAACAAACTGACTCCGAAGACACCTGCTTTATGCTGTATGGTTTATGGTAAGCCAACGATATGTACAATGAGCATGAATAAATGTACTAGCGCCGTCAGAAAAAAAAAGTAGATCATCTGATTATTACTGCCCAGTTGTTTACATGGTGTTTCTTATAAAGCATTTGCTAATTCAATGATAAATGTGTGTTAATGAAGACTGCAGATATGTTTTCGGCGAAATGATATCTTTGAATGAGTCATCATTTAATGTTTATTTGCTTACTTGTTAGCCTGATACATTGCAACATGTCAATCTATGCAGTCCGGTTGCTAAGCAATATACGCGCATGCCGTGACGTAAAACGAGCGATTATTAACTTTTGGAAAATTAAAAAACTTACGTGAGAAAATTGAGAGCCGAGTTTTATCGATGTATAGCGTAAAAACTGTGAGAAAACCTCCCCTAGTGGAAATAAGACAGAATTTTGCTTATGCAATTTTGCTGCCTATAGGGTCGACGGAGTATGTCTGAACACAAGTCAGCATCCGAAGATCATAGTGACCAAATGTAGAAGGTTACGGTTCTACGCTGATCATCACGTTGTGTTCAGATCTACGCCCTCTTATCTCGTTTGAACTTCAGAAACAAGCATACTTCGCCCCCGTGCGTTTCCTCATAGCTGTAATGATTGTATGCACAGGTTGTATGAAATTCTACATAAGGATAGACTTCTTAGAATAACTGCAGTGTCACATAGGTGATCAGCATATTGCATTCTCTATGATACAATTATGTGTTCTATTCTATTTCAGCCGGCCATATCTAGCTATACGTTGAGCTTGGTCGGTTCCTTCTATGCCCCTTTTCAAAAGCGGTCATATAAACGCTCTTCACAACGCGCCATTTTCACTGAAGACACATACCTTTCTAAAAGTAGCAGAAAAAATTGTAGCCTTATGACACACGCATTATACACTTCATCGACATGACAAGTCCGTCGAGTCGCCGAACTAATGGGTGCCGTTTGGTCGAGCGCGCGCCGCCATAATGCAAAGGAGGCGTCTTGTACGTTTTGATACTGAACGCCCACGTGCATTATCGGCGTCCATGGATAACATCGGCAGTGGAGCTTGTTACATCTTATTAAGGAATCACATTAGCGCACGTAGCGGTCACATCGTACACGTACATTTGGAATCACAGCGAGAGAAATCACGATTACTTTTGCTTGTCGCATGCTGCTGGATCTCAAGAAATAACCAGCCATTCATGTGGTTCCCCTGATAGTGTAATGCTAATGTAGTCACTGGCCAGGTCTAAAATATGTAAACAGATAATGTAGGTTGAAACCTTGCGAAGATACGCTTTGTCTCGTCCTGGAAAAGGCCTGCCGCCAGAAATAATAATGACTACCGTCAGTTTCAAATACAAAATATTTTCCTGTTCTCCATTCATATGCCGTTATATTGTCATCGACTAAAGGGTTTATCTTATCGGCGCCAGCTTTGTATACTGAACAGGTAATTTCGGGTAGCCGAAAGACTGAATCTGAATTCTGATGTAGACAACTGAAAATGATCCGTCTATTGGCCAGTCAGTTTTTTGCCTACATATAATAGTATGCCTTGCTCTTTTGGCCAAACACCAACATTGACTCATGGTGGCTAGACATACACGATGGAGTCCATGCATCGTTTCTCATAGAAGCGGCCGGTTGCGGCGGCAATTTTCGCTTCATTGGTTAATTAGTCGATAAATGAAGTTAAATTTAATTCTCTTTCAAACAAGTAATTTAATGGAAGTTATTACTTTTTATATCAGCAACAACGTGAAATGAACCAAATTTCGGTACCCAAAAATTGAGCAAATTTATTCATATTGAGCGAACTGATGAAATATTACATTGAAGCGTCTATCATCTATCAAAAGCAATGGAAATCCAAAACAAGTCGACTGTTGGTGGGCATAATTAAGGCTCAAATATGATGATTGTACTTTGGCTTTCGTTCTGCAAATGATTCAGATGTCTCTAGGCTGAAGTAGGTAGTAATAATTTTAAACAGGTTTCTTATAAGCGCAGAGGCGCTCGTTGGAGTCAGGATGATCACGAGGTAGATAACGAGGTAACTTGACTATTTCGTAAAAATGGTGCCATCACATTATAATTCGTTGCCCCAGAAGTACACTTTTGTCGTTAACTATATTTTAATTCAGCTCGTGTAAATATTTAGTTAATGCTATATTTAGCTTTAAACCACTTCCCCTTTCCAAATCTGATCGTTTCCTATGTACCGCGTTCCTGCGCGCACAAAATATCTACTTACGGCCTTAAAGGTTTTATAATTGGTGTTCAATTAAAAAAAAGCTGTTGTTAGGTTTAGAAAAATATTTCTTACAATCAAAAATTATTATGGCGGCACACATAATTGGCGGTTCCTTGATATTCTTAAAACGACATCCCTTAACAGCTAACGACTGTAATTATTCCCACATAGAAGTGATAAGTTTTTGTCAAACTAGTTTTTCAAACAGATAGGCAAACAAAACTAACGCAAATTAACCTATAATATATATTATATATAACCTATAATATATCTCTATAAACATAGACTAGCTAGCTATTAGTAATTGTGACTGAACGGTTCTGAGAATCTTCACATCGGACTGTTGATCTGTCTGTGTATTTCAATGAATCATTTTTATGAGCGTGTTAGCGTAGTAATTTTGTCGTTATTGCGATTTTCAAAAATAGAAAGCAGAGTATAATTACCTCCACTCATTATGCTGATGCAACAATGTCCAAGCATTCGATCTCCCGACATTTAGCGATAAAGCCTGCGGAGAATATCGATAGACGTGAAACGACGACAATGATGTGATCCACAAGGAGATCACATCGTTATCGTCGAACGGCGGTAAGATTTGAAATCACTCTGTATGCAGGCGTCCCTATTTTGCGCCGATGTTGGAAGCCTATTTTTATATTTTTGGGAAGCATATGCAAAATGTATACGGATCAGAGTTTTCTTGTACTGAACGGCCGGACACGGTCTAAAAAGAATATCACGATCATTCTACTGGGTGCTTTAAGCTGAATTCCGAATAAGAGTACTCGACCTCAGGAGTGTGATATATAGGCTTATATATTTAGTAAAATTTATTCACCTTTACTAAGTAAAAAAATATTACTTGTAATAAGCAAAAGTATGTACTGTGTATAATTTGAACCTTATATTTACTCTTGAGTTTTTAGCAGCTGCTCGAATTCGTTGGCTAAGTACAAAAATATAGTTAATGCTACATTGAATTACTATCACGTTTCAAACCATATGTCGGGACACCCGAATGATTACACCCGATTTGCGCCATTGTTGATTAGCATATATTTTTTATTCTAGGTTCTAACTTGACCCCGCTAGGAAGCTATTTTAAATCAAATGATGTCTACACAACGGATATTTGGAAGGGACTAATCTAATCTGAATAGACATTATTATTCACTATATTTGCAATCAATTTACTCCGTGGAACCTGCCATTCAAGGAACTTTTTTGATTTCTAAGATTTACCGAAAACAGCAATTCACTACGCCAATGTATAAGGCAGAACAAGCTGGCCTAGAGCTTAGTTTGACTGCAAGAAATAATTCGAAACTTTGTAAACTCAAAAATTTCATGAACAGTTTTTCAGGATAAGATCTACAGAAAAAAAAAACTACATTTAATCATTTGCGCTACCATCAGAATGAGGATGCTTATATGGAAAATAGTTCTGTTTATAATTGATTATATAATTGTTATATAGCACTGTTCCAAGGGTAGATGGTGTATATTTGTGTGATCTAGTCACGAACGTAATGATGGTAAATGTTTCAAATGGCTACTAACGGTTGAATTTCGCTGATTTAGCGCGGCCACACATTGTCTGTGGACTTTTCTTTGCTGGCCTCTTTCAGCGACACGTTTGAATACGAACCACAGATTCAAGCGTCTATCTCCATTCAAATACAATATACGGCCGAATAGGTAGTCAGTTTTACCACATACAAGCACACCTACGATAGCTTGAGGTTCGGGTTAACCCCCTCGGGCAATTCCATCATCTTTGCTGTTACGAATATTAGTGCAATTGCAATCCTTATCTCGTTAAATAGGGTTGGGGTTTTATCGACCCGTACATCTCATTTGAAAGAGGCTTCATACGTTTTCACTCAAATGATTACTAATCCGTTATGAGCGCGGCGAATGCTTTGAATCGGGGCTCTGGAGCTGTTTTTTCTGTGTTTATTCTTTATTATATATGATTATATTTCTGGACTCGCTGCAATTTATACTTTTCACCATCAGTTTTTACCTGTTGTTTGTATTCATCTGCCTCTTGTCTGCTCTTTTGTTCCGTCACTTGCTAGAAAACGTTTTTCATGGCTCTCGGCTGCGGCAGTGGGAATTGCAGAGGTGCTAGACACTGTGTTTATGCGAATGCGCTGGTCGATCCCTGAGAATCATAACAGCTTTTTTTATTATCTTGGGCGAGTATGGTGTATTTTACATATTTAAAGTTTTTTGCTAAAGGTACCGTTTAGCGAGCTCGTGCTACATTCATTGAGCACGTTGTGGTGGTATCTACACTCAATAAGTTGATTAAATGCCTGCTGCAGCCGAGTTTAAATTACGCGCCAGCCCTCTCATCACGACACCGTCTTAATGTTTCCCTGCTAAATTAGCCCGGAACAAGTAGATGCTCTATGACAGGCTAAAAAAAGAGATAAGAAAGCGGTGATTGCCAATTCTGACCGTGTCGTCTGCTTCTGACTTCCCCTTTCTCGATTCAAATTCTATATGCCTACGGCCTGACCTTTTCAATGCAATGTCCAGTGCTCTATATCCAACAATGCTCTATTCGCTCAAGAAATCAACAGATCCATCGGTTGCATTCAAATCCACTATTTTCAAGAATTTTGAGACATCTTTATCCCATGCTTGTATTTTTCTTCGTTTGTTATTGGCGTTCCGAAATTGTTTGTATAGCGCGACGGTGGTCTGAAGTTCGAAGCTCCTTATCAACCTACGATAGCAATTTAAATGGAGAATAATCAAAATTTTTTTCGCTTGGCATGGAGTATTTGGCTTTCTATACGACCCTATTTACAGCGTAGTTATCTCAAACAATTTTCAACTTTCGTTCAGGTATGTGATGTACGGCTGCGCGGTTGGAGATGAACTCCGTTCGATAATTCACCTTTTAGATGGCGCCAAAACCAAAAACGCGCTGTGCTTTCCCCTCTACAGAAGGGATCGACATGGTCGCTGACTCGGTCTCGCTTGTTCATCGATATAAATTTTCATTGCTAATGGGAACTAACCTAATCCTTCCAGTATATTTTTGTATTCCTCTAGATCGCTGTCCGAACGGCAATTATCTAGATAAGTTTAGTTTCGAGGCAAATGTTCGTTGACAGCCATGTTTGCAGCAGCAGCAGCAGCAGCTCATGAATTATCTGTTGAACTAGCATAAGTTCAAGGAAAGTCATCCATGAGGAAAGTCAATGACTGATCTGAACTGAGATGTTCCTTAGACTTAAATTGACTGTCGAAATGTTTTCGAAGTATGTTATTTCGTGACATTTGGAGGGGTGGAACAGTGCGTCAATGAACTTCTTTAGTGCTACGCATAGCTTTTCCTCTTTACTATAAAGATGATTGCTTTCGATCACCTCTATTTTGGATAATGCTATTCGCATGCCAAAGGTTGACCAGACAGGAGCAATATGCTTGCATACGCTTTTTTCTCGTCGGCATCATAATCCGTTTCGACTTCCGGCAAAAATGTCCCGTTTTTCGACCTATCAAACCTTTTTGTAGTCTTGCACGATTTCGGAGAGACTATAAATGTTCAAGAAAACTTGCTTGAATAGTGGCCAAATAAAGCAGGGCCAAACACTTAGATTACCCTTTTGACCACTACTGAATACCTATATCAGCCATATCAATAGGTGATTAGAGGCGGTAGGCTTTGCAAAACTTCAGATCGAATTCCGCCAAATTCTAGCGGTGTACAATGTCGATTAGAAGCCTGAAAATCAGCGATAAATGAGAATAACAGTATTGATAATCTTAATTTGTTTCTGGATATCAACAATTTGGATATAAACGTAAAACTAGCAGAAAACGTATTTTGGCTCCGTTTAATTTTTTATTTCATTTACGTCATTAATGTCAGCATTGTTCATAAAATAGTTTTCTAGAGGTCGATTAATGGACAATGCAATATTACGTTGACTGGATGTGTCTTCTTCTTAGGCAAATATAAATCTCGAATGCAGTAGTAAGAACTGTGTCAACTGGCAGGCTGCAAGCTTAATAATCGCATTCACCGCGTATCTTTGCAAAGCCTGTTCCGATGAGCGTTGAAAGGCTGTTTATCAACCGTGAGGTACAGCCGCTGAGTAGAGCGAAGAGAATCGGAGATCCATTGAAAAAATCTTGTTAATAACTCTGTTTTAACAGAAACCTTGATCAATGTAAGACGTGTTTCGTCTTCTGTACAATTCTGACAAAGAGATACACCTCAGCGCCACAGCCGCAGTGTGACGTGGATGAGGAGGGCAGGCTAGTGCCCGCTAAAACCGAGCAAGCGAGCACGTTTGGCCGTTCCCGACAATTTATGGGTGGGTTTAGCAGTGCCGTTAACTTTATTTGCAGTTCGGGACGGTATCTATCTTTGCTATCATCAAGCGAAAGCTAGATTCAGTACCCTTTGAAGAAACGCGCGTACACTGTTATCCCTTGGCCTATAGAAGAAGTCCCTCTTAGAAGCGTAACATTTATATATTTATATTGCTCATTTGACATTACCAACGTTCGGCTGTAGTCGATCATGCTAGATAACTTTATAACTTCGACGTGGTCCGCTGGATTTTTGTAATTGTTATTTATTCATAGGGGAAAGGGGCAACGAGAAAAGGCCTTTAGAAATATTTATGGGGCGCATGCGTTGTTCCTTCCCAACAGTAGTGTGTGATCTGCAATCTTCTGTTCAGACTGGGTTGAATTTTTGCATCTCCTACAAACCCTTAAAGTTTTTAATTTCCACTTTACGCTTTATATTGACAAGGAAGCCTGGCATAAGGAAGTTCAGTAGATACGATCGTTATTGCGTTCCTTTTTGTAAGGGCTTGAGAATCTTTCGTATTTACGACCGAACATAACAAGAAAAAGCCTATTTCACGTGGAGTAAACGCAGGCGATTGGACTTGGTTCCGCCAACACCACTATCGACTAATTCTTAATTTCTTTCTTATACTTCACTCCGTATAATCCGTCCGTATTTCCAGCCTGCGACTGACTCGCAGCTTCTACTCACACTCACTGTATATTGAATCACTTCTGATCTGAACCGCGAGGTATTGCAACGGGATCACCTAGAATGAGACTCATGGCATAACTGGGCTTACTTCAATCCTCTGCCCAATCCCTTACATTTCAGAGCCCTGCAAAGTACTATTTGCCATGTTTATCTTTATCGATTCGCTCACATCCAGTCTGTTGTGGTAGTGAGATACAGACTCACGATACCTGTGCCCTCATGAAAGAGACACCCAAGGTGTAGTGTACCACTGCTGTGTTGTTTGATGCGTAAGAATCGGTACGCTTTGCATGCGATTACGGTCACTGCGACTGGAGTACAAAGCGCAATAAAGAAACAACCGAAACTTTTTATACCGAGAGATCTCTTCAATTTTCGCGCCAATCGCACTTAAATCAGCATTAGACTAATATAGGGTATAGAGCTCGCTAATAATTCCGTTCATATTTTCCTTAATTGCACATTGAGCTGGATGAGCAAGTGGCAGATTTTGTTATATGAATCACTCACGGTAATTCTGGTCACGTTCTCCACCACGCCAGGGCCGCTTGATTTCTCTCCCGCGGAATTTCACTCCCTACTTCCCCCATGTTTTCTGCGAACCCGACTTTTTCTAAAGCAGTGTTTTTTTGGTTTCCTTTACTTTTAAAGAGAGTTTGAACGACACTGGGTGTTTGAATATTATGCGCGATTTTAAAGTGGCCAATCCGTAATGGTAAACCTGTTTTATGATTTCTATCCTCCGTAATAAAAATGCTCAGCCAGGTTCAAGTTCCTATTGCCGCTTGTTGAGCTGACATTGTCTTCAATGAGCTTATGGCTGTATCCATCTATAATTAGTGTTCATCGTCTAGTGTCGATTTGTTAAATTTCGACGGTTTGCTACTGTCGTCAGGCGCCTTTCGCACGTTTTGTTGACGTTTTATAATGGCTGCAATGACTTATCTATGATTCGTTAATCTTAATACTTGATTGGTACTAATATGGCTGTAATGCGTCTATAAAATTTTGTGAAAAGTTGGCGAGAAGCCATCTATCTGTTCCGTGGCATGTCGCAAAAATAGTGTCACATATAGATCTTCTTTGTTAGACCCGGCTTGTTTTACAATTCGCCTAGCAACTTTAACAGCGTTTGCCGTTCGACTAGCGATAATGTGGAACTCTTACGACACGTTTTACAGGTCAGTTAGGGCAGAATCTCTTGGACGTCTCAACTACGCACTTCAGTCCACAGTCTTCTAGTGGACCTTGTTCAACATTTCACATTTTTAAAAATGCACGCTTCTCTCTTCAACTATCGGACCTATTATGTACGTAAGTATATTTCCTGTTTATAGTAATCATCTCGATAACCATCTCCAGACGAAGATCTAATGGTGCATAATAGAATTAAGCTGTAAGTATAGGGCTTGTTTCAGCAATACACCGACTCTTTCCTTTTATCTTCAATTCTGAGGGGTTTCCGTTTAAATACAGTGATTCTCATACGGCGACACAAGTGCGATGTTTGTGTTATTAAAACTCAGATGGAGAATTAGCAGTGAGGTCGCTAGTGCTGTGCCTTTCGAAGCCGCGATCAGATCAAGAATGATTTTGTCGTTTGTAGTACCTGGTCAATGCCAATAGGCAGATAGATAGGTTAGAAAAGTAACCTGTAAAGGCGTCGTTTTCCTTGCTTGACATCCAATTTTGATTTATTTTTCCTTCCAAGAATGCATTTCGTTGTTATATTATATGTCACAAGTCCGATGCGTATGTATGTCAAGTGTTCTGAGCAGAAGTGTAGAAAGTTTTTGGAGGTATGCTGTCCCGTGCTGATTTTGCCATTGCGTCCTAGTAAGCGCCTAAGCCATGTTTGATTGCATTGGCTTGAAGTTGTAACATTACTTTTGAGTGAGAGCCCTTTTATTTGTACGGTAAATTTAGTTTGACCGGTTACTCCGCCCATAAAATTGGGTCAACTATACTTTTTGACAATGTATCATTTAGCTATACCTGAGCATTTCTAACTGAACTAATGATTTAGCTGTTTTTCGGTTATGTATTTAAATACTTGTTGCGTGTTTAGAAAATCGGTGGCTTCCAATGACTGACGAATACACAGAACAAGCTATAAGAAAATTAATCAGCTGTCTCTTTTCAAAGATTAGTTCAAAGTTACCCCTTAATGGAATGGATATCTAGAACGGTTGCAGTACTATCGGCGGATTCGAGTTTACAGCTCAATCTTGTAACGGTAATATCACCTGTTATAACCAGCGTCGTGATAAGTTCATTTTGCAGCATCCGGAATTTTTTATTTCTCTTCAAGCAATTAGTAACTAACATACGATTCAGAGGCCTCCTAGGGTAAACCATCCCGGATAGTTCTTTGAGGTATAACGAAAACATCACCAAATGGGTCTGATTGATTGATTGATCAATTGTTTGAAGTCCCATTCCAAGGTAAGCACCGCATATATTATGTGGTCGCGATATCGTGAAAGGATACCGTGGCAGATAGTTAGGTTTTTCGATGTCCAGCACAAAGATCGCCGCGACCGGGACGTTCTAACTTTACCGTTTCTTGGATACCGACTAGTCTCATTAAAATAATCTGGGTGTTTTCGCGTATAATTCGAAACCTCCCAACACGCACACCGTTTTATATCGATACTTCTACGTTTAATAAACGCGATAGGTTTAATCATAAACGTATAAGTAGTAACACCGGGTTCAAAACTAGGCTACAACGTGTCCCTAACCGAATAGCAGCCAAATCCGTTACCCACTAAGCTATCACATGGACTTTGTTAGAGTACCTGTACTTTACTTTGACCACGTCTGGTTGCTTTACAGGAAACCTCATAGACGACTGATGCATCTGCCGGTAGACGGTTGTAACTTTTTCGAATTCGGAACTCATGGCATGTTGAGGGAGCCGCAAGTTAAAGCTAATCACTTCAGTGTTATACTGCAATTTGAAGCAGCTTTACCTCACTAATTCACCTGTTCGCTCTTCACGGCTGTTACCATGCTATCCCTATATCAGAAAGGTGTGCACATTGAAAAATTCTGGTTTCTTGGAAGCGCACATCTCGTGGGTTCTCTGCCCAAGATACACTACACCCGTATAGCTTTCTTTCTCTCCAGCTTTTCATTAAATATTCATCCTTCACTTATTCATTATGTATTTTTACAAAACTTGAGTTGGACGCCCGCCTTCACCGGATGTATAGTACTAATTAGAAAGCTGGGAACCTTAAACGACAATATTAAAACTTGCATATATATATATATATATATATATATATGTGTTAAGGCATTTTAAGGCTCTGCGACCGCAATTGATAAAAATATATATTCTGTATGCAAAAGCATGGATTACGCGGCCTGAACGAACTAGCAACATGCTCAAACTGAGGGTTTAAACAAAACCGGATCTCGAATACGTGGCAAGTTGGCGACCCAAGTGGCAGTTGGTATAATAGAGCCTTCTACTATATTTAACCCGAGATACTTTCGTTTCAAATAAAAAGTACGTTGATTTCGATCATTTTTGGCATAACGTTTGTCCGTCTTAACGTTTAACGCATTGTTCTTATGTCGAAAATTGCGTGTCGTCTGGAAGTATTTTTGTCGAGTGTTGATCTCGGCATGCTTCGACCATTGACATTTCCAATAGATAGGGTTCATTTCATTCAAAGCATAAGTAATCATGATTCTATCGAAACTGTTCGCTCCTACGTGACGAACTTTCATCGAGTTCGTTTACAATAACTTAGCTGTTCTCGTCGTAAATAAATACATCGTTAGTTATGTACTAGTTTAATGTGCGCCACTCAGGTTTTTAACGAAACCGCATTTTGTCCGCTTCCATGACACATAACCCTATGGGCCAATTAGTGAACAATATAATATTACGTTGAACAGCCGTAAGACCAGAAATTCGAAAGGGGGCAGCAAGAGCTGTGTGGCCACGAGCGGCGTCGTCGTCGCCGCTGAACCCGCTTTCAACGACAGGTGTCCACAGCTAATACAAATAGTCCAATGATGGCTTTCCACTCTGCGACAGGTACTTTCTCATTCTCAGGCAAAAGCTTTTTTAGCAAAAGGTACGCGCAGTTAGCCTGTAGAGATTGTCGTTAGCTTTTGGTTGCAATTCATTAATTTAGATTGTTTACTGATTTGAATGTGATGCACTAACTATCTGAAAAACATTGAAAATATACAAGTGTAGGTAAAATGGGAACACAAACGTAGACGCGAATGCATCGAGCTGATGGAAAAAAGTACGTAAGAAAGACACAAACGCTTCAAGTATTCTTGTACTAGCAAGGGGGTGACCTGATATATGAGGATGTATCGTTACTCGAAAGAGCTTTCCACGGAAGCAAATATCAGAAGGCGTCTAGGGTATCTGTCGGTCAAAGGAGGTATTTCATGTAGTGTGTCACAGAACTACAACCCTAATACTGAAAATTATGAAGACAGATTAAAAAGTTGATCCGCTGCTTCAGACCAAATACATGTTGTATATTCCACACATAGTTCTGCGGAACTTTATACAGCAAGATAACAGCCTAGGCCCTACGATCGTTATAGACGAGACGTGGTTTAACCTTTATGGCCAGGTGGAAGGGGACCAAGCAGGCGAACGGCGGTGCTCGGGAGAGAAATCGGGTTCGGGGACGGAACTTGTCAAAGTGGCGGAATGAGTGTTTTAAAGAATAAAAACGAACACGTCTAACACCTAAGCTTGCATAATATATTTAATTTCAAACTGTCTCAGATTTGTCTGATAATATAGATTCATAAATGAGGATCCAATATTCTCTTATACGAGTAAATTTCGTCAGTTCATTTATTTAATTAATTTAAAATATTGGTTCAATTGCATTTTTAGTATCCTTCGCTCTGTCGCATTCATCTTAGAATTGGTAGTCAGTCCTCGATCTTGAGTAGAGGTTTTGCCATGGATAAGCGTTGTACTAATTACCAGTGATTCGTTCTCTCGTGATCTTCGGACGTGATTCATGGTATCGATGAGATCAGGCTCTTCTACGTGTAATGTCATAACATTATGACTTCTCGATCGATGGGGTTGTAGATCGTAAATAACTCTAAGTTGCTTTCTTGCAGTTTTTTTCCTGAAGCTATCTCTGTTGGTGACGAATTTATTTGTTTGGTAGGGAGATTTATCTGGCCAGACTTTCTTGCAGGCCAATGTGGCAGTTTTCGAGCGTTCTTCAAATATTCTTTTGTTGTGCGTACCTGCGAAGATTTCTGAACTGAGCTCTGTCATCTCACGCAGTTTTTTCGGATATCTAAGACACATCACCAATATTTGCATTAGACATTTCATAGTTCCTTTGATTGTAGCTGATTTCAGTGGGGTAACTTTGCGCCATTTAATAGTGGCATCGGCTGTTATGCGTAGGCATGTGCCTCGTGACTACGCTATATAATCTATTTGTAATCATCCCCATGGAACTTTCACTTTTTCCCAAATGTACGCCAGCCGGTGCTATCATATGGGTTGTTGTGTAGCTTAATCAATTTTTTTGCATTATCATCATCCTAAGTTCTGTCGTCATGATAAGGGTTTGCGCTTTAGCGATGTCAAAATGTTCTGTACGAAGTTTTCCTATTGTAACAATAACTTACTAAGTAATGGCGAATTCTAATAATGGTATTGTTTTCAGTGAAAATTGATGTTTGTTATATTTCTGAAGGTAGATTTTGACATTTCCATTTTCCTTTGGCTCTACTTCTAACTATTGAAATCAAGGTTTATTGCCCAGCACAGAATAGTTTTTATATTTAAATTTCCTATGAGTGTTTTTTTTCTGGGGTAATATTCAAATCTATATCTCTATGCTTTAACATTCTACTGAATGTTGTACGGCAATCGTGACAGGAGGATTGCGTGTTACTGAAGTCTAACAGCAGTGTCTATTCCATGTTTCCTGTTTGTTGTAACGGACATTTACCGTTTAATGATTTTGCTGCCTTATACGAAACACTGCCTGTCTGACACTTCCATGTTACCATAATAGAGTTTCGCACTTACCTAAAATATAAAACTAATCCTAACGGTACACGCTTTATCCTCTGACTCTTCACTTGGTACTCATTTTGACATGTAGGACACTTGGTAAGCTTTACGTGTGAGAGAATTTCTGACGCTCTGCCTCCACAGCAGAGATCTAAAATCGCATCGTTCAACAAGCCAATATTGATATGTGTATACAATAGCGTTGACCCGATATTCATACAGACGGTTTTTAGGCCAAAGGGCTTTCAACGTACGTTTTGCTAAAATATCTCGGCAAAGTTGGTAAAGTAAGCAATCCGAAAACAGCTTAATTGTGATTTTTGTGTGAAAAGGTCATGATCTTCTACATCCGCACATAGAACGTTGCGTTTTCTTCATGCAAAGGTACGCACACGCCTAATAAACTGACGTCGTCTTATAACGATACTTTAGAGATGTTTTTACGAAATTATAGAATTCATTTCTTTAGATGCAAGTCACAAAACACAAGTTAGAATTGGTTAGATTTTCTCCATGTTCAGGTTGACGATAACAATGTATTACGGCATTTTACTCACATAAAATAAACGCGGTTTATTATTATAATTAGTGTGTCGTTATTTTACGTGGGATGTGTGAATATGTACCTAACGCATGAAAAACGACTATGTTTAATACAAGTAGACACAGATTAGTACATGTAAAAGGTAAATGTGGTTTTTCCTAGCCACCAAACGTTTAATATTTAATGGTTACTATACCTTTTATGTACGAATTCCGTTTATGAGCACAAAAAACTAAGGCTGCAACCTGTTACAAAGGCTTGTCTTTTTTTTAGTGCTATAAGATGCTTCAATTTCGATGAAGGGCTTACAACTAGGACCTCGAACGCTAACGTTGGCGTACACTGGAGGTGTGTTAATATTACCATTAGAAATAGCGGCACAGATTTCCCGAGCGAACGGGTTACGAGTTCTAACAGAATACTTTAGCGTAGTATTAAAACGGTTGTATTTAACTGGCTTTAAGCCAGTAAATAGCCAATAAAGCTTGTAGCTTTTTATGAATTGTCCATTTAAATGTCCAATTAATGTCCAAAGTTAAATTGTCCATCGTTTAGCGTCCTTGCAGAGCAACTCACTGGAAAAGATATTCCTTCGGAAGTCGACCAGATCCATGAGGCACAGGTAATTCTGATAAGAGGGACTCTTCGAATCCGTAAACAAAAGCTTTCCAGGCAAACCTGCTTCCTAAGGTTAGATAGGAACAAGACAATCAAGCTACTAAAAATAAAAAGCATTAAAAAAATTCAGCACGGCTTCCATGACTAGGTATGTAATTGAGGGTCATATTATAAATGATTTGCCAGATGATACGTTAAATTTATATCCTTTCCATTCTCGTATAGGTAAACACGTACCTAGGGAATCTTTTTCCTTCAATTCTGCATATTGTTTAAATAACATTTTAACTTTACCACCGCCTTTATTAAGAGAATACACCCATCAGATGCTTGTTTACCACTTGCTTAGAAATCAGTGTTTATTGACCGTTTAGCCTCAAGTGCTCAAGAGACGAATTTGTTTGCCCTTCAACCCTTGACAGCTGATTCAAAACCAATAAGATGAGTGCAAACTTTAACCTTTGATTTCAACATGTCAGTGGATGCAGAAGACGAGGATTAGGTATCTCTGTAGTTATAAGCGCAACAAACTCTCAAAAGGAACTTCGGATAACTACATTATATCTGTCATCTAGTTTAGAGAGTTCCAGACTTGCTTAAGAAGCTCATAGGCACGGTTTAAGGTTCGTGTGTCATTTTCGACGTCTTATCCAGAAAATCATGTGGCGACTCGTTTCATTGGATCATACAATATTTGGTCATAACATGAATGCATGTCGCCCAGAGGGTATGTAGTCATTTTTTTAAATACTCCACATATTCCAAATGATAGCAGCCCGATATGGCGCCCGCGCTCAGCCAGAAATGTTTAAGGATGAGCCCTGTGTGGCCTAAAAAATTGAATTATATGGAATATGAGAGTAGGTGCCGCGGTACCCCCTCTTGCTCGATCAGGGTATTATCAAATAGACTAAATACTTTACTCGACCCTACAAACCAAAATTGACGCCGAATATAGTGCACGCGTCTTAAGGTACAGGCGATAATGCGTCAAAAAAATCGGCGACTCAACCGATCGTTCTTATAGGCATGATAGAAGCCACATGCGTGTCATACGCGTAACATGTGCCCATTTGATTCAATAGCGATTTGCGATTGACTTTGTCAAATATAAACTTATAGTTACAAAGTAGACAAGGCAATTCTTGATAAGTTAAGAACATCATACAGTCAGCTATGAAACGCTTCGTCATGCTGTTAATTCGGAACATTCAGTTCCTAGTAACCTTGTTGATAATATCATTATTTACTAATTTATTACTCAACAACCCACAATATCGGTAGCAAGCTAATCCAGTCTCTACAATCACAATTTTCTCACAACAGTCTCTACAACTGTTACAACAAGGGGCGTCGTTTCAGAGGCTTTTTTTTTGAGATGAA